TAAAGACATTTTATGACTTTACGTATTATTACTTGAAAGCACTGTCAAATGTTAAAATAGAACTTGATTGTATTACTAGGTTTTTGGATCCAGAATCGAGTTGTCCTCTTCCAAAGACAAGTCGATGGCGAAGAAAAAACACTCCTCATTACAATTGGCATGATGTTACCCATCAGAATGACTCCCTTGCAGACAGTGAGGAAGATGAGGAATTTTATGATTCTGTTGATAAAATGGACCATGGTGAATATGAGTGGAGTGACACTCAGGGAGAAGTAGACTCTGCTATGGATGACACTGCTGACACAAATTCTGATTCAAATTCACAATTTGAAAAATTTGGGACACCTCTTTACACAGGATCAGAGATAACAATTGCACAGGCTGTACTTCTAATTTTGTCCTTTTCACTGAGGCACAGTTTAACAGCAAGCACTGTGGAAGACCTTTTAAAGCTCTTAAATGTCTTTCTCCCGAGTAGCAACATTTTGCCACAGTCTCTCCACCTCTTCTCTAAATGTCTCTAAATGTTCACCTTTTCTGCAAAATTTGCCGGTCATATCTTTCAAAGAACAACATGCATTGTCCAGAGTGTAATGAGATAAATTTTTATATAAGTCTCTCTGTTGAGAACCTGCTGAGTCAGAGCCAGTTGCATTTAGTCAGTGTTTACAGTCAGTGTTTAAAATCTGTGTGTACGTATTTAAATATGCTTCAGTCGAAGGAACTTTTTAGTGTGATGAGTTAAATCTTAGAATGTTTCAGCTAGTGTTTTCCCAGCTTAAGTTGAGTCTTCCGCCTCAATTTACAGTAAACAGTCTCAAACCCACTCTGTTTCTCTGTTTTGCACACTTGATGTTTCAGAGTTCAGCCCCATTCATTGCTGTGTGATTTTCCCCAAATGGCTGATTCTGATACTTCAGCAAGTGCCACAAAAGTCACCAAGCTGTTTACCATTTCGATGAAGTAAAAATGGTAAAACTTTCTAAAACACAAAAATAACTAAACAGTACCAGAGGGTTAAAGACATTTTATGACTTTACCATATTATTACTTGAAAGCACTGTCAAATGTTAAAATAGAACTTGATTATATTACTAGGTTTTTGGATCCAGAATCGAGTTGTCCTCTTCCAAAGACAAGTCGATGGCGAAGAAACAACACTCCTCATTACAATTGGCATGATGTTACCCATCAGAATGACTCCCTTGCAGACAGTGAGGAAGATGAGGAATTTTATGATTCTGTTGATAAAATGGACCATGGTGAATATGAGTGGAGTGACACTCAGGGAGAAGTAAACTCTGCTATGGATGACACTGCTGACACAAATTCTGATTCAAATTCACAATTTGAAAAATTTGGGACACCTCTTTACACAGGATCAGAGATAACAATTGCACAGGCTGTACTTCTAATTTTGTCCTTTTCACTGAGGCACAGTTTAACAGCAAGCACTGTGGAAGACCTTTTAAAGCTCTTAAATGTCTTTCTCCCGAGTAGCAACATTTTGCCACAGTCTCTCCACCTCTTCTCTAAATGTATCTAAGTGTTCACCTTTTCTGCAAAATTTGCCGGTCATATCTTTCAAAGAACAACATGCATTGTCCAGAGTGTAATGAGATAAATTTTTATATAAGTCTCTCTGTTGAGGACCAGCTAAGAGACATTCTACAAAAAGAAGAGTGCACATTTCAATCAGAAGAAAATGGAGCAAATGATGTGAGAAAGGGTGAAATGTATCAAACTCTCCCCAATTTCACAGCTAATGACATATCACTACTATGGAACTGTGATGGCATTCCAATGTTTAAGTCTTCACCTTTCTCTTTGTGGCCCATCAGATGTGTAATCAATGAACTCCACCCGAATGTTCGTTTCGTGGTAAACCTGGCATGTCCACCTATCTTAATCAATTTGTGGATGACATTCTAAAAGTAAATTCACAAGGTCTGGAATGGAACCCACATACGAAAACAATTGTGGTGTCTAAGGTTTTCCCTATATCATATGCTCATGTGACGCAGTAGCCCGATGTTTGCTTCAAGGTATACATTAGTTCAATGGTGCATATGGATGTGGCCATTGCTTAAGTGAAGGAAAAACAGTGCCAAAGGGAAGAGGATATGCCAGAGTCTATCCGCCCACTGAGGCACAAAAAAAGAACCCATGGCCATGTCATTGAATGTGAGCAGATGGCCACTGAGAATGATGCTGACCATGTTTATGGCGTGAAGACAGTATCACCGTTAGTCCTCCTGAATCCCTCCACTGGTTTTGACATTGTGGACAGCTTTCCAACTGACTACATGCACTGTGTTCTCTTGGGAGTGACAAAGCAATTCTTGGACTTGTGGTTCAATAGCAAGTATCATGACAGCTCTTGGTACATTGGTACATCACATAAGCATGTGGATCAAAGGCTGCTTACCATCAAACCTCCATCTGATATACTAAGAGTACCACGGACTGTGAAAGTAGCACAAAGGTGGAAGGCTGCAGAATGCTGAAGCTGGCTATTGTTCTACAGTGGGCCTGTCCTGTACAAGATTCTTCCAACAAAATTTTTGAAACATCGGCTACTTCTGGTCACTGCTATGTTTTGCTTTCTTAAAGACACAATCACAGAAAGTGACTTGACAGCAGCAACATTCAAGATAACAAAGTTTGTGCAGGAGATACCAATGACATGGCTTGTGCCAAATGTCCTTCAATGTCCATCAACTCACACACTTGCCCTTCTCTGTCAAGATGTTTGGACCTCTTTGGTGTACATCTGCATTTTCATTTGAGGGCCACAACCAAAAACTGAAGAGGTTGTGTCATGGAACAAATTACATTCCATCTCAAATTGCAACATAGTTCATAGCATTCAACATAGTTCAGTCAATTCCTCAACTACTTAAACAAACGATGACTAGCGCTGATGTCTCAAATAGGGTGGACAAACTTGTCAATGACTGGCTAGGTGTTTATCCTCTTGTTGCTAAGGCACAGAAGCTGGAAGGTCTCGTTTTGTTGGGATGTTCTCGACAAAAAGTCCTAAATCACAAGGACAAGTTCTTAATGCTCCCAGTCTGTGATCTATCTGACAAAGATGAATACTCTGCAGAGATATATGACAGAGCCATTGTAAACAGACAACCGTTAACTACAGAGAAATATGGAAAGGCATACAAACACAACAGTTTTACAGTTCAACTAACAAATGGTTGCATTGGAAAGATTGAGTCAATTGTAAATATCATACATGATCACAAAAACAATCCACTGATCCAAGTTCAGCTTTTACAAACCGCACCTGCTGGTTTTGTGTCTGAAGGATCTCCTTCCCTTATAAAAGAAGTGGTGCCAACTGCAACAGTCATGATTGTGAAACCTCTGGAAATTGTCCGCAAGGTTGTGCACATAAGCTTAAAAAAACATGCTATGTTGCATTACAACCAAACAACATAGAGCTTGACTGATATACAGTATAGGCCTAGCACAGAGCTCAGCTGATGTTTGGATATTTATTTTCAGGGTACCTTAGCTGCATGGTGTCACTGCAACTTTCATTTAACTTGTATTTATGTTCTACATGGATCTGTATAAATTTATATAATTTCTAAATTGAGATGGTTAAAATTATTATTGTTGTCCTCAGCTAATTTTTCATTCATATTTAATTTCCAAAAACATTTTCTAATATTTTACTCCCTTGTGTAAAAAGGGTGTATTCAGAAATGCAACAATGAGTGCATGATCTTGTTTGCAATTACATATACAGTGCTTAACAAATTTATTAGGCCACCACCCAATAGGTTTGTGCCACAGCTGCCCTAAACTAAGTATCGGTGATTACCAAAATTACCATCGTTATGTTTATGTAATGGTTAATCCACCAGTATGTGTAAGATCTTTAGTCACAGTAGTGTTTCTAATGCTAAAATATAATTATTGTTGGGATTGAATGATACTAAGATAGATTGCACAAAAGTGTAATCAAAAGTAAGTCTTTGGGAAAAACTAAACTATTTGGAAGTCAGTAACAACAGAGACTGTGGAAAAGTGCATAAAAATTATGCCAGCAAGAATGCAAGCGTTTATCAAGGCCAAAGGAGGCCAAACAAAATAAAAATAAAATAGCCTATTTATATTTTTTGGTTTATTCGTTTTTGGTTATTATGTGAGAATAAAGACTATTTAGTTGTTTTAGTTTGTTATTTGCCCAATGATAACACAATTTTAATTTTAAACAGGTTTTGACGGGCGGTCTAATAAATTTGTTAAGTACTGTATATAGCTACACATAGTTTTGTGAGGACTTGAACTGAAAATAAAACTTACAAACTCACACGTTTACACTTTGTCCCTTTCTTGATTGCCAATGGCTGAGAAAAAAAGAACTTTTAACAAAACTTTCAGAGACCTTAGTACGTTGATGAAAGGGTAGCCTATGTATAGGCCATGGCTAGATAGATGTTTGTACATTGCTTGTTTTACCGCAGAACATTTATTTGCGTGGTGCCCCCTTGGACGTGGTGCCCCTACTTGCCCAATTGCCCATATGGTTAATCTGCCAATGCATCTGGTGGAAATAAAGAAAATCATCTAAATAATAATAAGCCTATTTATTTATTTATATATATATATATATATATATATATATATATATATATATATATATATACACATATAAAAGTTCCTCCTAGAACGCTGTCCCAGTTGTACAAAGAGAACAACAGAACCGTTTGCCTCAACTTGAAAGCTATTTATATTATATGCTACATAATAATTTTATGTAAGAGTAAAGAATTGTTCAGATGTGATTTTGCTAGACCTGTTCAATAAATATAGAAACTTGGAAAGATAGAGAGCCAGCTTTCTCCAGGATGACTTCGTAACAGTGGTGGCTGGCCTTAACTTGAACTATTGGAAGAGGGGGAAAAAAAAAAAAACATTTGGGCCCCATACAGGTTTTTTTTATATATACTCCGGGTTGGCCCTACTATGTTTGAACATGTTTCTGGTTGACACTCCAGGTTGTCGCTGGCACGAACTACATCTTCACTGTGAAGTTGGGCAGAACCAACTGCAAAAAAGGTGGAGTTGAGACCCTGTGTGCCATTCATAAGGATCCCAAAGTTGCACGGGTAAGACACACGGTGTCTACTTTACAATATTGTGATTATCTGTTCACATTTCTCGATTTCCATGTTAAGTTACTTTTTTTTTTTCTTTTTTTTTTTTCTTTTCCCTTTCAAGGTCATTCAGTGCAAAATAACGGTCTGGAGCAAGCCATGGTTAAACTTCCTTAAAGTCACTGAAAACACCTGCATATAGAGCTTGTGATGAGTGCAGTTTGGGGCTTTTTTAACATTCAAGCGGCAATAAAATTTACTTGCTGTTGGTAATGGTAAACTTAGTCTTTATTCTTGATAAAATAGAAACTTTATTTGTCCTGAGAACCTGTCAACAAATTATAAGAATACTTCATCATTAACACAATCATGTAAATCTCATTAGACTCCGTTGCTCTGAAAAAAGCTACAATTTGTAAGTATTTCTAAATGATAAAACGCATGTTTCTATATTAGTTCATCCTTTACTATTAAAACATGGTTTAACAGTATGTCTGTGCGCCCAGCCGGCACATGACCGACCTTCACCGCTGAAATAATGACAGTTGTTTCAACGTTGAAACAATTAATGCTAAATGGTTGAAAAAGGTTAAACGCTCGTAAGTCAACGTTGATTTTTTTTTATTTTTTTTTTTAAACAAGATATGTATGTTGAATCAATTTAATGTCTTCAACAGCATGCAAAAGACATTTCTGCCTTTTTAAATTAAGATCATTATATTTTTAGTATTTTACAATATTGATCATGAAACCCATTCTAAAATCTAAAGGTATGTAAAATATTATCATGAACAACAATAAAACTAAATTAATTTTGCTGTGTTACCACGCTGAAACAATTCCTATTTGGTCGTTTTACCTTTATTGCTTTGGTCATGATTGGTTAATCTGGCTGTCATCCAGGAAACTGGCCAATGAAACTTTCGCACCTTTCTAAATGTGAAAATATGACCGTGATCGTCTTTCTGAGTGAGGCAGCTGACTGTGAGCTGCTATGGGACGGACTCCCTTTTGGAGCCAAGCCTCTAAGCGGTCAGTTGATGAATTGCAGTTTTAGTCACTTCCGTGTTGGTTTCATGAGCGAGACCGGAAGGTTGCCGCTTGCAAAAAAAATTATTTGGCTTTATTCAAATGTGCATGATCATTAAAGTCTAAAATTGTTCAGATGACCAAAGCACAAGGGTTTCTTGCAAAATTAACAATTTAATTGTTTGGTCAGACGTACACATTCATAAATCGGGGATTAAACGTGGAGTTATGTTCTGTATGCTAAATATGAATGTATAAACAAGCGTATGTGCACTGTACCTATAACTGTGCTTTGCTTCTGCTGATTGCTGATCGAGATGACATGCTAAATGGCCGACTGACCCGGTACACATTTCATTCACGAACTACATGTACCAGTTCAGTCATTTCATTCACAAACGAGATCAGGGTTGCCAGGTTTTCACAACAAAACCCGCCCAATTGCTACTCAAAACTAACAGGAAGGGTCAGATGTGATCTGCGAGGTCCTACAAACATACGGACAAAATCAGGTAAGAAAAAGGATATCTTTATTACCTTTCAAAAAGGTGTGCGTGATGCTCATCTGATGTTGTGTGTTGCTGGTAATTTGTTAATGTCTGTCTTTTTAGAGATTTTTCTGATGTGAATGCCATGCTGGTAGAGATTCATTGACCTTTTGTGATGGGTTTTGATTTTTGATAAAGTTAAGTGAAGTGACATGTGGCCAAGTATGGTGACCCATACTTGGAATTAGTGCTCTGCATGTAACCCATCCAAAGTGCACACACACACAGCAGTGAACACACACACACCGTGAACACACACCCGAAGCAGTGGGCAGCCATTTTTGCTGCGGCGCCCGGGGAGCAGTTGGGGGTTTGGCACCTTGCTCAAGGGCACCTCAGTCATGGTATTGAAGGTGGGAGAGAGCGCTGTACATTCACTCCCCCCACCTACAATCCCTGCCGGTACGAGACTCGAACCCGCAACCGTTGGGTTACAAGTTCGACTCTCTAACCATTAGGCCACGACTTCCCCCTTTTTACTTGGTTTAATTTTAATTGTTTTTTTTTTGTTTTTCAGTACTCTTTCCACCACTGAGGACAGTACAGAAAGCGCACAAGTGGGAGAGAGCGAGGGGACGGCATCAGAAAGGACCTAGAGCTGGGACTCTTTCAAGGATCACCCGAAGCACAACCACGCTATATGCACAAGGCTGTTGGTTCTAACATTTTTATCAGAATTTGAAGAAACCTTTCTACTTAAAATATTAAATTAATTTCATTCAAGGCAGGGTTTTTCCTGTGTAAAGGATTAAGGTGACTGTCTCTGTCAAATGTAGTGCCACCTGTGCCTGTCGACAAAAATCAAGACAGGTGGTTACATGCTCCTATACCCCTTTACCACCGACACGGTTTCTGTTGCAGGTTCCATTCTCAAACTGTTCAACATTTTCACTGCACAAATATCTTGTAATGAGATGCATTAGTAAAACATGTTTTCATAGAAACTATAGGTTTTCACCAAAATAAAATCAACTGTTTTCAGTCAAAAAAAGTACTAGGGTTTCTCTTGCAAGTGCAGTGCAAAATATGCATGTTATTTTACAAAATATTTGTATTTTTTGTTGTCTTTATTGTATTTGTATTCTTCTACAGGCTTTTAACAATCTCAACACTGCAAGCTAAAGTTTGGGGTTATTTTTGTTTTATACTGTACATGTTTCCAAAATACAACCGTTTTACAAAATTGAGCATGTAGTAGTTTATTGAAGTTGATTGTAAAGCCATTGCTGCCAGTCATTTTATTTTTAACTTTATGAATGTAGTGTTGATCTAAATGCAAACTAGGTTCTAATTGAACGTACAGTGGCGTATTAACCCATGTTGAAAGGTATGACGGTAAAACAACGTCAAAATATCAACGTTGATCCGATATGAATATTGATATTTCTATTTACCCGTTTCAATATTTTATTTGCTAGTTTTTAGGTTAATTCCATATGCCTTGATACAAGTATGCAACCACAAAGTTAAACGAGGTTACACAGGGGTGAAGAGAGCATGTTTCAACATCAAGCGGAGGTGAACCAAACGAAGACTACGATGAAGAAGAGGAAGATGCAGACAGCAATGTAAGAGACAGAAGAAGGACATCCGTCATTAGTTTCAGACATTGATATATAATTGGAATTACCCAAAAAGTAGTATTAAAAGACGTTAGGTCTTTCCTGTTCTTGAAACTAAATTAATTCTTAAGGTTGATTCAATATTACTAAATGAAAAAAACACACACAACATCAACAATGCTACAATGACAAAGCCGCTTATATTAAACATAAAACTTAATGAACGGATAAGAACAAATTCAGTGGCGTAGCGTCTGGTTATGCAGGGTATGCAGGTGCATATGGTGCCCTTGTCCAACAGCTTTATGAGAATTGTCGGCTCGAGTCCGACTGACCGTGACTTTTCTCTCTCTCTCTTCCCAATTACACAGCTATTAAAATAGTTCAGCTTTGGTTTTTAACGGCAAAGTGGTCATATTTCTTTTTGTTTCTTTATTAAGTTAATTTAGAAATATGTTTGGAACATTTTATGTTTGTTAAATTCAAGTTTTTGTTTTTTAAAGGAACGACCAAGTGGCCAGAGGCAGACAGTGAGTTGAGCATCATGTTTGATCAATTTAGCCTTCTCAAACCAGCACGACTTGCCTAAAATAAACAGACATAAAACACTTCATGCATTTAACAGTATTAATTTAAACATTTAACCAAGATAAACAAGCGCTGTTAGGCGCATATCCAATCGTTAGTGCGGAGAGTGGAAGCTAAAGCGCGCTGCAGGACATGGAGGCGCCAGCGCAATCACTTGCTTTTTTTTAAAGAACAGCGGAAACTTAAAAATACGCCGTCATTTTTGTTCATAAAGATAATAGTATACATCATTCGGAACTGCAAAGGGTCTACTTGTATTTGTGTGCACTCACAATATCAACAAAACCTTGTTGTTTTATAAAAAAAGGAAAACAAACAGGATGCGCTTTCTGTCCTCTTGGTATTGCGCAGGAGCGCTTCACCGACATGATAAATATATCTATAGAATGCTTTAAATTACTATTTTTAAACGAAATAATTCAAATCGAAAACAGTTCACCCCAGGTATAGTATGAGCAGTGTGAAGCGTGATTACAGATAACCCAGGATTCCGTTTATCTGGTGTTTAGAATGACCCAGGGTTAACAATTTCAAGTGTGAAAAGCCCTCTAGAGCAGGAGTACTCAATAGGCGGACTCTGGTCCGCATCCGGACCCAGACGGTTAAATCTGGACCGACGCGCCAAAACCAACATGCTAATTTAATCATAATCAAAATGAGTTTTCAATGGATTGCGCAATTGTGATTCCGCGCTATATATCTTTGAGGCTTCTACTCGGTTTGGCTGCTTCATCTATGTCCAATCACAGCAGCTGTAACAGCATCGCTATAGCAACGTCACCACTACTCACTCAAAATGAACAAAATTACCCTCAGAACACAGAGGTAAGGACCACAAAAATAAACCAGCTGAAGTCATCCTATGAAGCTACAAGCAGTGTAATAGTTAGATCAGCCACACAACAGGAGCAGGCAACGGAAGCCTCACTACGAGTAGCATGGGTCCTGGGAAAACACAAGAAACCCTTCTCTGATGCTGAAATAGTCAAGGAGTGTATGAGTGAAGTGGTGACTGCTCTGTTTGAAGGGACTCAAAAGGATGAAATAATCCAGAAAATAAGTCAAATGCCCTGTTCTGATTCCACTGCTGCAAGACGAACTGAAATACTTGCTGATGATTTGCTTGAACAACTTAGCTCTGCTATAAAAAAAGCCAAATTCATTTCAGTGGCTGTGGATGAATCCACAGACAATGCACAACTCATGGTCTTTGTCAGATTTTATGATGAAGAAATGGGAGAATTTCATGAAGATGTTTTGGGTCTCACAAACCTCCATGGACACACAAGGGCGGATGACATTTATGAAGCAGTGACACAGATGCTTAGAGACAGAGAGATAGACCTGAAGCATGTTGTTTCCATTGCTACTGATGGTGCGCCATGTATGATTGGGAGAGAGAGGGGATTAGTATCACGCTTGAGAACTCACCACCCTGACCTCATGGCATACCACTGCATAATTCACTAGATGGTTTTGTGTGCCAGCCTTGGAGAAAGGTACTCAGAAGTAATGACAACAGTCATGAAACTTGTCAACTATCTGAGAGCATCCTCTGCTCTGCAACATCGTTTGTTGTGCTCATTTCTAATAGAGGTGAATGCAACATTTGATGATTTGCTCATTCACAACAATGTCTGGTGGCTTACTAAAGGCAAGGTACTGGAGCGGTTTTGGGCACTGCGGAAAGAGCTGGAGACATTTCTGTTGAATCAGAAAAGTGCAAAAGCCAAACCGTTTGTGGATTTCATGAAGAATGAAGAGGAAATGGAAGTTGTTGCTTTTCTAACTGACATTACTTCCCATCTCAATGACCTTAATATGAAGCTCCAGGGCAAAAACAGCACAGTGTGTGACCTCATGTCAGCTGTCCATGCTTTCCAGAGGAAGCTGGAGGTGTTCAAATGTGACTTACAGCAGAACCTGCTTCATTTCCCAAGACTTTTGGATCAGACTGCAGGAAAACATCACCATCACAATTATGCTGAATTCCTGGAAAAGCTGATTAAAAATTTCCAAATTCGCTTTGAAGATTTCCCTCTGGGAAAACAAGTATGGTTGTGCAACGAAGATCCATTTCTTGTCAAAAATACTGCAGAATTCTCAACTGAAGCCACGAAAGTCTTCCCATGGTCCAATGCTGCTTCTCTGCAAACAGAGCTAATTGATCTCCAAGAAAACCTAGCACTGCAGGAATCTCGCTGTGACCCTGTCACCTTCTGGAAGAAGATAGTTCCTTTCCTGCAGAAGACGGCCCTTCAGATTCTCACCATGTTTCCCTCAACGTACTGCTGTGAATCTGCCTTTTCAACCATGAACATGGTGAAAAGCGAATACTCACCAATGAACACTTACATCAGCCTCCGCCTGGCCCTCACACCTTTTATGCTCAAGTTTAAACAACTGGTGGCACAAAGAAGGTGTCACCTTTCACACTGAAAGGCCTACCATGTCGTTTTTTTGTGTATAGTTCTAAAGTTTTGGGGATTGCCTTTTTTTTGGAGTTCTCTATTTGGAATTTGACCGTCACTTTTCCGGACCTCAGACTGAATGGAAATTTGGTAAGTGGACCTTTCAAGTTTATATTTGAGTACCCCTGCTCTAGAGGGACAGAGGTCTATCCACCAGTCTCACAAAATCCTGTGGGAAACACTGTATTACCAACACTGTAACAATACAAAGCTGGTTAAAAATCTGCAAACTTACCTTTTAGGGCAATGATTACAATATAAGGATTATTCGGTAGCTTTGCATGTTCATCTGTAGTTGCCATCATCTGAAATCTTTGAGTGTTGGCATCTTCTGAAGTCTTCACATGCAAGGCTGGATCCAAACTGGAGCTGGCGTAATCTCTAGTAACCTTGGGATGGGCATCCCGAGATAGAAAAAGGAAAACAAATGAGAAAGATTAGCATATCTGCTGTTCATATTTCACACAAAAGATGATTTATTTAATCACATATATCAGAAGTGCAAGGTTATGAGATGTTTTCTGTGTGAATACATGTTAAAATGTAATTGACCGTTCACAATGAGCTTGATTGACAGGTGATCTGACCAATCATAACGCCGAAACCGCCATCTTGCCCAACAAACAAATCAGACAGGAGAGTAGATTAACTTCGGTCACGGTGGACTTAAACTTGAAAAATGTTGTATAAAGACGCACAACATCTTTTTATTTTGTGCTTTAATTAAATATGAAAAGACAATCGGTTCACGTGTGCTGCTTGAACTGAGGTGCTACAGCGATCTGTCGCAACACATTAAAACAGCATAAAACAGTATTTATTGTTTGAATTTCTTTTAAAAAAAGACAAAATTTGAAAGCTGAAACCTTGTTTCATACCAGAAGTAACCTTCTCTGTCTTTTCTGTCTGTGTGTTGTCAGTTTCCTCTTTGCTCCGCGATGTATTATTTCGCTGTGAACACATGGTGTGTACTGTAAGAGCAGCATGGCTTATCGGACATAGCAACAGTATCTAAGGATTTTCTTTTATCATATTAGTTATTCTGTCTCAACTCTGAAGCCATCAAGAGTCCAGGTATCGGTTAGCTGAATTTTCTGTCTCATTACTCCAGTCTTTAGTGTCACATGATCCTTCAGAAATCATTCTAATATGCTATGTTTTGCCAAAGAAACACTTTTGATCAATATGAATGTTAAAAAAAATAGCTCTACTGTTTTATATTTTTGTGTAAACCGTTTTAACAGTGTAGAGTTTATTTATTTTTAATGCTTCATTGTTATATTCATGGATTTCATGTGACGTCACACAGTGGTGCGGCCCCCATTTGTAGAACCAAACTGCATTTCCGTCAAGCTGCTGTGCTGTGCTGTGCTCTGGGCTGTGATAACAGCAAATCACAATGGATTATTTACCAAGAGACATGGATGTATGGGATTCTTTTGATTAAATATTTCTGGTAAGCATAGATGCATGTTTACATTTTAGCATTTTAGTTAGCAAGGTCATAATGAAACTTGCAAAAGGTTAAATTTGCGTGCGAGACTGCTGATTTGCCAGAAAACTTTTGTTATGCTCCACCTAAAGCTAATAAATCAATGAGATGTTTTTTATCTTTGATCTAAGTACAGTTATGTGAGTCTAGAATGTTTACGCTGCACTAAACTTTGACGAAAAACAGTCCAATCCGCAAACAAACAGATGAAGAAGAGGAGGATGATGACGTCCAGGCCATACAAGGAGAAAGGTTTGTAGTTTTAGTTTCCACATTCTTATTTTTATGAATGTAACAATGTAATTACTTCAAGGATGTTAGAGTGAAGAGGATCTGTTTGTACTACTATTATAATTCTGTAGACTATTATAAAACGTTATTTTCAAATAATCTCATTTAACTAAATAAGCTAGTTGCAGTGATTCTTACGATGGCAATGTACTGCTGCAATCAAATGTATATGCATCAATATGTCTGAGATAATTTGCAGTAGCTGTGCCCTGCTTTTACAGTTACTAAATGTAAGCAGACTTATTTGTTCAGGTGCTCACCAATATCAAAACACATGTAACTGACTACAACAAAACAGAATCACAGTTTTGTTGCTAAGATTTCGTTGCTTCTTCACTTAGCATGTAGAAACATACAGGAATAACTGAATATTTATCTTAAATGTGCCACAAATGTCTTTTAACAATGTTTTGTAGTAACTAAGAGAAGTGTCATCGCAGAAGAAATGGCAGACGTTCCTCAGACACCTGTGAACACCGAGCAGTGCTTGGGGTCAGACAGTAGATTTCACTTTTATTATACTTCTCTGACTGAACTAGCAAGGAGCAGTTAGAGTCCACGAGAAAGTAAGTTCAAGTAGCCTACATGTCTGCACTGACCATGATTATACTATATAATATAATATTTTCTGCAACAATTGGGGGGAATCATAACTGAGGAGACAAACTGACCAACAGGAAGTTATGGATGTGTAATTTTCAAGCAATTTATTGTGGCATTCACTGTTATTTTTACTAGTGAAAAGTGTTTCTACTAATTTACTTAAAAGTATAGTTAACCCAGAATTCTGCAATCATTTACATTATTACATCAATCCCTCCTCATTTTTTTCAAACCCCTGACTTTTGTTTTTCTGCAGAACTCAAAAGAAGATATTTTGAAGAATTCTGGTAATCAAAACCAACAGGTTTGTCACGTGTAGACGACATAAAGGAAGTAAATTATTTTCATTTTTGGGTAAACTATCTCTTTAATTAGGACGATACACACTTTAAATTTCAATCATACTGGACACAGCCACTTAATGTGCTAGAATTAAATGAGAAAATAATAATAAGTAAATAGTCTTTCAAACAACATGTGCTTTGATACAATATATATATATATACATTTACTTTCATTCAGTTTGGTGCATTCAGTTAGACCTTTAGTAATAGATACTTGTGCATTATTTGCTCTTTACAGGTGCAGAAATGAAAGCTCCCAAGCAAAGAACTCACTGGACTAAGATGTGGAAAGACATGCTGCACAATGAGCAACAACCAAGAACAGTATTCACTGATTACCTTTAAAAATGATTCATAGTAAAAGTTAGGTAATAATTATTTAAATTACGGTATTTTACCAAGTACAAAATGTTTAATTCGAAAACTTTGCCATTTACCAATGTGTTTCTCAAAACACCTTTTAAATTTGTAATGTTTTAACCTTTATTAAATGTTACAGTCCAAGTTTACATATAAATGCCTCATTCATGGGTAATTTTGCAAAATGTGTTAAATATTTTATCTACACTTATTGTATAACTGCTGCTTTTTTGCTGTAGTTGCATGTTTTTGTAAATAAATAGTTTTGTAAATAACTTTTCCTCATGCCAGCTTAATCAAGCTAGTTATTTAATGGACTTTGCTTTCATAATAATGAGATGTTTATAGATTTGTTAAGTGATGTTATTTATGTATTATAATCTATATAATTAAAATGAAAGTAAACGTTTTGTCTAGGTAACGTTATTAATTTTAAATGAAATATTAATGAACAGTACAGTAGAAATGAAACTGGGCTAAGTCTGGCGAGTCCGGCTTGGATGCGATAGTGTCGGCAAGTTACGGCTGTTGCATCTGGTCCGGTTGAATCGGCCCAGAATCTGAAAGTGAGTACGCAAGCATCCAGGCCGGGTGCTGCAGATGGATCCGGGCCGATGGACAAGCCTCTTAACAGGTGAAAATCTAACTGAAAATGGCCCGAGAGTACGGAGAGGGATTGTGTATGAGGTAGAGGTAAATAGCCAGCAAACGTCAAATTGGTAAGTTTTCCCTAGACTTTAGTGGAGTCAGCAGTTCGCTTGACAGAAAATAAGGATATAATCCTAAAGTGTCTATTTTTTTTTAATACCATTGTTTTCCGTTGTTGTTTAAGTGTTATTTTGGTTTCTGATCACCAAGGAAAGGCGATGCAAGGTCCTAAAGATGGCGGCCGCAATAAAAAAGTCACGTGACTGAAACCCATGAATTAGACCCCAAACCCCTGAATGGTAGTGTACACTAAATTTTTAAAAAGAAATTCATATTTTTATTCAGCAACGATACATTAAATTAATCAAAAGTGAGTGTAAAGACTTCTGTTGCAAATAAATAAGACATTTCTATTCATCAAAGAATTCTCTCTCTCTCTCTCTCTCTATACCGGTATATATATATATATATATACACACATATAAATATATATATATTTATTTATTTATTTATTTATTGGGCAGCACAACTGTTTTCAACATTGATAATAATCAGAAATGTTTATTGAGCAGCAAATCAGCATATTAGAATGATTTCTGAAGATCATGTGACACTGAAGACTGGAGTAATGATGCTGAAAATTCAGCTTTGATCACAGAAATAAATGACATTTTACAGAAAACTGCTATTTTAAATTTTAATATTATTTCACAATATTACAGTTTTTACTTTTTTATCAGATTTTTTCAGAAATTGGTCAGCATAAAATACTTCTTTTCAAAAACATTTTTTAAAAATCTGAATTTTGAACATTAGTGTATGTTTGGGGTTAACTTGCTAGCCATATGGTTCAATGTGCCTTGGAGATGTCCGACAGGAGGTTTGCTCAGACTCTGGGATGCAGAAGGCCATCAAGCATGGAAGAATCTAGAAATATAACAAGCAATTTGTCACAGAGTCAACAATATTCAGTATACAATGCCAGTTTTATCACAAGGAACCAAGCTAGAGCACAGGTGAAATGTAGAAAAGAGAAAGAATATGTATTTAATAAATATCCTGAACAGTTTTTATCACTATTTGTTTACCATGAGACGAGATCAAAATGCGTTTGAACTGTACCCAGCGCTGATGTAATGACGTCACCGATTAACGGTAACGTTAGTGTATATTTAGGTTACATAAAAAAAGTCTATTTCCAATCACCCATTGAAAAATTACCAGCAAAACTTTTACAGAACGGTCAAAGCCTCTCATCTACACATAAATATGTTATTAAAATCAAAAAGTTTCATAAAGAGCTCAGTCTTTTAAGTGTATTTATTTTTTGTCTCAGTGTTTAGCAGTTGTCGTTGCTAGGAAACACTTGTTTTGTTTACTGTGGAGATGTGCTGAAATGGCGTTTGGTCTGGTACTGTATCGCGTACCTTGTCAGTGTCGTGCGCTTTGCTTGGCCAGTTGGGATAAACAGGAAAGTGTGTCCAGCTGAATTCAATTTGAGTTTTGTTAAACGAATTAAAAAGAAGCTTAGTTTACCGCGGAAGCGGTCGTGTGAAGACCGAAGAGTATAAAGACCATCTCCTCTACCGTGCGACTCCACCGGGCAGGACACTGGCAAAGGACATAAGTATCGCTTTTTATCTCTCCTCTCTCCACTTCTGTTTCAGTTTTTTTATAATCTATTTCTTACTATGTGTCAGTAAGTTGTTGTTATTTTAGCATGTGTGTTTGCCTCAGTGTTATTTTTTTTAGGATTACTGATGAACTAATGTACTTTGATTTGTATTAGTTATCTATTTTAGTTTTAGTTACAGTTGTAGTAATGTTGTCATTTTATTAGTTTTTTTATTATGTCTATATAGGCTTTTTATTACGTTTTACTTTTATTTATTTTGAGTTATTTCAGTACTTCAACATACAAAATGGAAATGAAATAATATATATATATATATATATATATATATATATATATATATATTTAATGTATTTATATACATGTACATGTATACATGTACAGACCCCCTTACATTTTTCACTCTTTGCTAAATTGCAGCCATTTGCTAAAATCATTTAAGTTAATTTTTTTTCCTCATTAATGTACACACAGCACCCCATATTGACAGAAAAACACAGAATTGTTGACATTTTTGCAGATTTATTAA